CCCGTTCAGTGTCTTGTGATGGTTTCGAAGGTCGCTGCAAGCAGTTAACATGAACGCGTACACTTACGGCATGGATTTTTGCATGCCGGTAACTGGCAGATGTGCAGCTGTGTGTAGATGCATAGGTTGATGAACCGTACTACACTCAAAACTTACGTCAAGACATCTTCGAATAAGAAATCGAGACCCAACTTCGCTGAACTTCTTAACCTCTTGCGGGAACCACCTTTGGACACGAATGTTCTTCAGGCAGCGCGGCGTCCGGCTTAGTGGTTGCGATACAAAAAAAAAGTGCTGGTGATTGTGCCGATGGATGGCGGTGTCAGGGGTTGTGCTAGCGGGATGGCAGTGCCAGGGGTTGCGGTAGCGGGTCGCGCTGAAGGGTTAAGATCAGATCCGGAGGCAAACCTGGGGAAAGTTCTGGGGGCAGATCTGCAGGAACATCCAGCGCGAGATCTGGGGGGAAGTTTGGGGAGCGCTCTGGGGGGAGATCTGGTGGAAGATCAGGGGGGAGATCTGGGGGGCGATTTGGAGGAAGATCTGGGGGCGGGGTCCATAGGAAATCTGGGGGAAGATCTCGAGGGAAATCTGGGGCAGGATCTGTAGAAAAACCTGCAGGAAGATCTGGGAGAGGATCTGAGGACGACCTTGAAGAAGATCTGGAGGAATTTCTGGGGAAGATCTGGAGGAAGATCAAGGAAAATATCTGGAAGAAGATCTGGAAAATGATTTGGCGGGAGATCTTGGGGAAAATCTGAGGGAGAGATCTGAAGGAGAATGTGAGCGAAGACCCAGGGGGAAACATGAAGGATGATCTGAAGGAAAATCTGACGGAAAATCTGGAGCCTGATCTGGGGAACGATCTGGGGGGTGACAAGAGGAATATCTGTGGGAGACAGGAGGAAGCTTTGGGAGTAAATTGAAAATGATCCGTTGGAAGATCTGGTGGGAAATTTAAGCGATCTGGAATGACATGCCGGGAAAGACCTAGCGGAAGATCTAGCCGAACATTTGGACGAATACGTTGGAGAACATCTGGGGTACATCCAGAGGACAATACGTAGGAAGATCTGGAGAACAACCTGGGGAATATCCAGAGGAATGACTGGGCGCAGACTTGGAGGAAGATCAGGGGAACAATTTACAGAAAAACCTGGGATAAAATACGAAAGGAATATACACGGAAGATCTGTGGAAGGAGCTCGGGCAACATCTGCAAGGAAATATGCAGGAAGATTCCGGGAAACAACTGGAGAGATCTGGAGGAATATCTGGAGGAAGATTTGGACGAAGCTCCGGGGGAAAACCTTGGGGGGATTTGCGGGAACATCCGCGGGAAGATTTGGAGGAAGACCTAGGTGAATCTCTTCAGGAAGGTCAGGAGGAAGATCTCAAGGCGAATGCGGAGGAAGATCGGGGGGAATATCTGGAGAAGATCCAGCGGAAGATGAGGAACATCAGGCAAAAGATGTGAGAGACGATCCTTTAATGTTCCCGCGACCTCGCAAAGACCCGGGCGGATATACGAAACATCAGACAACCGTAAGACGGAACATCTGGAAGATCTAAGCGAATATCCCGACGAACGAACGCAACTGAGTACGATAAAACATGTGGATCACGCTTGAAGAAGAGGCGCGCCGCGCGGCGTGCGATGAAGATGTGCACAGAAAGCGGGCGTCAAAACAAAACATGGGAACCTGGCTCGCGCACAAAACAAAACGCGAAGAAAACGCTCGGTGCGTGCCCACGCGAAAGCAAAACGCCCAACAAAACAACGCAAACGAGCAGGCCCGCGACTACCGTTTAGGGTACGCGCAAAACGTGTTCCCGAACGCGTGTCGAACGAAAAATAAATAGGAAACGAATCCAACCGAAAACAAAACAAGTAAACAGTGTGTAGCAGCAGCCCTGAGAGGGAGATCTGGCAGAAGATCTGGAGGAAGATCTGGGCGACGATCTGGCGGGTGATCTGGTTGAAAAACTAGAAGATCTGGCGAGATATCGGAAGAAAATCTGGGGGGAGGAACATCTGGATGAAGATCTGGAAGAACTGGGAGAAGATCTGGTGGGAGGTCTGGGCGAAGATGTGGAGGACAATTTGCTGGACGATCGGAGGGAGAATTGGAAGAAGATCTGGACGAACATCTGGGCGAAGATCTGGGGGGGGTATCTAAGGGGAGATCTGGAAGACACTCTGGAAGACGATCAGGCGGATGATCCGAGCAAGGATCCAGAGGTTAAGAAACTGGGTCGGCTTTTCGGACTTCGGAATTGAAATTAATTGAAATTTAAAAATGTTGAGACCCAGCTTGGCGGGCGTTTCTGAACAGAAGGTGGTGGTCTACACTCATATCTTGTGTTAAGAAATCATCCGTTAAGAAATTGAGACCCAGCGTCGGTGAATTTCTTAACCCCGGTGCGAGACTCAGCTTTGGCCCCAGCACGACCACCCCCCTAGCACGACCACTCCCCCAGCACGACCATCCCCAGCACGACCACCGCCCCAGCACGACCAACCCCCAGCACGACCACCCCCCAGCACGACCACCCCCAGCACGACCACCCAGCCAGCAAAACCGACAGACAACCGAAAACAACCAAAACCAAACAGGGAAGGGGCACCCCCGGGGCCGAGCGACCGAGAGCCAGTCCAGGGGCCACGGGCGACCGAAACAACCGACATACAACCGAAAACAACCAACACCAGACAAGGAAGGGGCACCCCCAGGGGCCGAGCGACCGAGAGCCAACCCAGGGGCAAGGAGCGACCAGAACAACCGACGGACAACCGAAAACACTCAAAACCAAACAGGGAAGGGGCGCCCCCGGGGCCGAGCGACCGAGAGCCAGCCCAGGAGCCAGGGACGACCAGAACAACCGACGGACAACCGAAAACAACCAAAACCAGACAGGGAAGGGGCGCCCCAGGGGCCGAGCGACCGAGAACCAGCCCAGGGGCCACGGGCGAACTAAACAACCGACATACAACCGAAAACAACAAAAACCAGACAGGGAAGGGGCACCCCCAGGGGCCGAGCGACCGAGAGCCAGCCCAAGGGCAAGAAGCGACCAGAACAACCGACGGACAACCGAAAACAACCAAAACCAGACAGGGAAGGGGCGCCCCCGGGGCCGAGCGACCAGCCAGCCCAGGGGCCACGGGCGACCTAAACAACCGACATACAACCGAAAACAACCAACACCAGACAAGGAAGGGGCACCCCCAGGGGCCGAGCGACCGAGAGCCAGCCCAGGGGCCAGGAGCGACCAGAACAACCGACAGACAACCGAAAACTGCCCAAACCAGACAGGGAAGGGGCGCCCCAGGGGCCGAGCGACCGAGAGCCAGCCCAGCACGACCACCCAGCACCCAGCACGACCACCCAGCACGACCGTCCAGCACGACCACCCAGCACGACCATCGAGGTTAAGAAACTGGTGCCAGCTTTTGCGAATTGTGTATTCTTGCTTAAGAAATTTTGAGACCCAGCTCGGGGGAGGGAGCTTCTTAACAAACGACATTAGTGTAATGGTCGGACGAGGTTCGTGCCAAGCGTCTGGCCATGCTTCTCATAAGCATTCAATGCAGCTAAGTCTGATTAAAGTGGTTCGCCTCGCTGATTTGAAGTCGTGGTGTGCTACTCGTTGCAGCAAGTGTCCTGAGCAAAATGGTAATTGGTTTCAGGGCCTTGAGAAGAAAACAACACGCTTTGCCTGCCGAGCGGGAAAGGGGTGTTGAATGTTGCACTCGTGTAGGTCAAAGATGACGCTATGCTGTCTGGTAGATCGCGCGTGCAAGCCTGGTCGTGTCTCCTTGGGAAAAATAGCCGGTAGAGCGTCCAGGATGACCTTCAGAACCCAGGACGGCTTCAAGACTGTCCCACGGGGCCCCGACATGGCCTTAGAGTTGCCAAACACGCATCCAAGAGGTCCCAGTGGACGTTTGGAAAGGTAGCCACAAGAACCTTCCTCTGAGACCCCCGCGGGGCCAAGAAAAAAGTCACTCAATGCCGATGGTGCCCTCAGCGATGCTTGCCGTCCTGCCACCCCTTGAGCTCCGACGAGCGGCTCAGGACCTGCGCTGGCGCCAAGGGGTGGCCCGTGAGAGGCCCAGGGGAGCCTCCAGGGCCCACCGACAAGGCTGAAGAGAGCTCCAAGAGAGCACCAAAAACCCAAGAGGGCCCCGAGGAGCCGCAGGAGGCACAAGCTGCTCCAAAACTGCTCCCTTGCGCGTGCCTTCACAAAGGCAGGAATACGTCCCGAGGCCCATCGGAGGTCGCCGAAAGACGGCCGAGAGACACCGACGGGCTCCCCAAACATGCCCCGCAGCCCCATCGGGAGCTCTCAGAAGGACCCCTCCCCAAGGCCCCATCTCGCCACCACCGGCCTCGTGCGATAGCACGGAGACAGCCCCCCCGCAGAGCATCGTGCACACGGTATCCTCAACCAGACTGTGGCGCCAACGCGGGCCTCAAGCGGCAGTGGGGGGGAGAAACGCCACCTACCAGAGATCAACTTAGAGGTTCGCGCAACTGTCCAGGAGAACGCGCACGATGCCACAATAGATGGGCCAGCGGACAGCGCGGTAAGGCGCGGGGAACGAGCTCCATCACGCCGACGCGCCCTCCACAACCCTTCGCACGGCCAAGACGCAGATGGGGGGAGGGGCAGCATCACAGCGGCCAGCGCGAAACCGCCAAAATGCAGCAGGCGCCAGGGGAGTGCTTTATCGCCAACACCTCCGAACGCGGCTGCAGCACCGGTCTCACCAAACACACGGCTGCGGCGGGCGGCTGCTCTTCTGCACGGCACGTCGCGGCTCCAAGGGCCACCGATGCGCCAAACGCGAGCGCTGGACACACTGCGGCGGCTATGCGCGCGCCCTCGCTTGCCGGGAAACCCTCTGACAAGGTGTGCGGACATATCACTCCCAGCCGAAATGCCTGTGCATGTCGCCGTCGACGACTCTGGTTATACCGCCTTCCACTGTGTGATCGCGCGAAGCCCTGCTCACTGTCGAATGCAGTGCACGGAATCATGCCAACGTGATGTACATACCTTCTGATCACCATCTGCCCGAAACACTTCATTCGGCGATTGTCCGAACTTGGTCCGGGGAATCACTTGGGTTGCGCGGCGGCTACAGCCAGTTATTTCGCGCGGCCTGGGATATGATGCGGATTCCGCTCGCGGCTTCAAAATGTCACGCCCTCGCATCGTCGTTTTGGCTGAGACCAGCGGCACGGTTTCTTGCTTCAACGCCATGTGAGGAATATAGCGCGGCGTTCGGAATGCTTCGTGCGGTCACTTTCGAGCATCATCAAATCCGCCAACCCCCGCGGGCCGGGGGTGAAAAGGCGTGTGAGGCATCTGGCTGTCCCTCTCCCTCTTTCCCCCCACCCCAAGGTCCAAAATCGGATTAGAGGGGGGGGGTCTCCGGGCTCCCCAACGCACCTTGGGTCACCGGAGCCTCCAAAGAGCCCCCAGAGAGCCCAAGAGGGTCCTCACAGAGCGCCAAGACAGTGCCAGAGAGCGTCGAGACGGCCCAGGGCTGCCCCACGAGAAGCTCAACAAAAAAAACAGGTGCCACAATGAGCCCCCCAAGATGCCCCTGAGAAGGATCACAAGAGCCCCTCGTATGCATCCCAGTGCCTCTTGACCCACTAGATTTCTTCCCCGAGCGCTGCAAGCTCTCACTGCATCTTCACACTCCGTGGACGCCCCCAAGTGGCCGTCACGAGACCCCGACAACGCCTCGTAGCGGTTCCCAGAACGCTTCACGATTGCCTCTCACAGACTTCCCTGAGTCTTGCCCACAGTCTCCCACAGGCATGGACTCGGAGACCGCCGACCCACATGTGCAAAGGTCAGACGACCACGCGCGACATGATCGGCCCCAGCCTTCCCCAGTGATCTCTACTCTCCCAAAGCCCCGAATTCTGCTCGAGAAACACGCGACGAATTTGACATCGTGCCTTCCAGACCAACAGAACATTCCGACACACACCGCCCGGCTCCGAATGCCCCAAGAGAGCCGGCAAGGCCGACCAACATTGAGATACGACGGAATGTGTTCAGGCCCGAAGGCTCCGAATGACGTTCGCCATCGTGCATTACTCTTTGTCTTTTCTCGGGGTGGGAGGAATGGCGGAAGCCACCTGCAGAAGTGCATGACGTGTGTCTGCCATGTTCTGCCATATTGCGGTCGTGTTTCTGCCACGTTCGGTCCTGGGTAGGTACTCGTCTGACATGTTTCTATCAATTTCGGCTTTTGGGACTTATTGTTCGCGGCTCGTGCACTTCCCACGGATGGAAGAAGCATCGGTTGCCGCGGCGCCGCGCATTACAGGTGCACCGTGTTTTGTGCTACAGACCTGCGCAACATACGGTCACATTTGCTCAAACCGCTAAGAGCAAGCGCACACCCTGGCCGAAGCCATCAGACCAGGTCGATCCCGCGATGCTGAGACGGGACGGTTTGCCCAGAGCCGGCGCACGCCTGAGAGCGACATATCGGCGTCGCGAGGAATTCTCAGACCGACGCGCGCAATATTTCACAAGGCCCGCAAGCGCTTAGTTTCAGCTTGAGCCAGGGCACGAGTTTTAAAGCTCGTGAGCGATAAAGCTCCAGTCCCACATCCTTCCCCCCCCCCGAGCCTCCACGCACGTCGTTGGTGTCTCGCACCGGCGATGCTTGGTCGGGGCCATCCGTCCCCCTCTTCAGCCAAGGTCGCCTCCCAGATGAGACAGCCTCGAGGCCGGGCAGTCTCCGGAGCGCCAAGGTCCGCCAACGTCGGCTCCAAGACGGCCAAGTGCAATTCCGCTTGGTTCGAAAGCTCAAGTGGTTCCTGACAGATGGCTCCAAGAACCCCAAATGAGAGTGCGAATAGGGGAAGCAGGAGAGGGGGAGAACGAGAAAGTGGACGAGAAGGAGGTATCCCGCGCCCATGCAGGGGCGGCGAGCTGCAGTCACTCCAGGTGACGCGCACCGTCTGCAAGGCATCTGCAGTCCTCTTCCTCCGACTGCACCTCCTTCTGATACTGATTTCCCTGCTCATCAGCATCCTCATTCTGCTTGTCCTCGTGCTGAAATCCTGGAGTACCACAATCGAGGGCGCTTCATCATCAACGTCGTCATCATCATCATCATCATCATCATCATCATCATCATCATCATCATCATCATCATCATCATCATCCTCACCATCACCACATACATCATCATCATCATCATCATCATCATCATCATCACCATCATCATCATCATCATCACCATCATCATCATCATCATCATCATCATCATCATCATCATCATCATCATGATCATCATCATCATCATCATCATCATCATCATCATCATCATCATCATCATCATCATCATCATCCTCATCCTCATCATCATCATCAGCATCATCATCATCATCATGATCATGATCATCAGCATCATCATCATCACCATCATCATCATCATCAGCAGCAGCAGCAGTAGCAGCAACATCATCTTCAGCATCATCAGCATCATTACCAGCAAAATCGTCATTATCAGCATCAGCAACATCATCATAATGATCATCACCGTCATCGTCATCAGGATCATCAGCATCATCATAGCAGCAGCAGCGGCACCACCACAACCACCATCATCAGCCTCATCATCATCAGCATCATCATCATCCTCATCGTCATCATTGTCATCACCATCACCAGCATAATCATCATCATCAAAATCCTCCTCATCATCAATATCATCATCAGCATGAGCATCAGCATCATCATCCTAATCAGCTTCATCATAACCATCAACATCGTAATAATCGCCATCACTTAACATCCATCACCATCATCACCATTACCATACCAATCAGCATGAGCATCATCAGCATCATCATAACCACCATCACCATCACCATCACCATCATCAACAGCATCAGCATCAGCATCAGCATCATCACCATCATCATCCCCATCATCACAATCATCATCAGTAGCATCAGAATCATTACCATCACCATCACCGTCATGAGTCATAATCATCATCATACTCAGCATCATCATCATCGTCGTCGTCGTCGTCGACATCGTCACCGTTGTCGTTGTCGTGGTCGTCATCCTGATACTCGTCCTCCTCCCCATGGACATCCGCATCCACATTCGTACCATCAGTATCATCATCACCAACATCATCATCATCATCGCCATCGTCGTCGTCGTCGTCATCATCCGCATCAGCATCATCATCATCATCATCATCATCATCATCATCGTCGTCGTCAGCATCATCATCCTCATCATCGTCATTAGCACCATCATCATCATCAGCATCATCACCATTACCATCACTATCCCCATGGATACAATGTTCATCATCATCTTCATCAGCATCAGCATCACATCATCATCAGCAGCAGCAGCATCATCATCATAACCATCATCATCATCACCATCGTCATCGGTATCGCCATCGTCATCAACCTCAGCATCATCATCATCATCAGCAGCATCATCATCATCGTCGTCGCCATCGTCCTTCCCCTACCCCTCCTCACCCCTCGTCTTCGTCCTACTTCTCCTCCTACTCCCTCGCACCATCCTCCTCATCCCCTCCCCCCTCTTCGAAATCATTGTCACCTCCGCCGTCACCGCCATCATGCTCCGACGACCCCCGAATCCCGATCCCATCCCTGCACGCTGAACGCTACGCAGACGATTTCTGTCTGGTGGCCCTTCAAAGTGTGGATGCACTGGCCCGTGTTGCCGTCCTCCCGTGCGAGGGGCCGCCGGCTGGAAACAGCACAAGGCCGCTCAGCCAATACGGTTACGCAGGCAAGCACAGAGGAAGATCGCGCATGAACGCACCCAAAGATCACACGATCCAACGCTTTTACTACAGGCGTTGTTGTTCGGTGTCGGCCTCTAAGGCATCAAGCATAAATTAGGTACGGGACACTACCCCCGTGGGGGTGGTCGGACGCTCTGGGACCGCGGATTGAACAACGCAGATCGGAGGGTTTTTGGGCACTGTAGACGTTAAGCGCTGCTTATTCCCGCGCGCGCGCACTGGAGATGACAGTTCATGGCCCCAGCAACCCTCCGACGAAGCCGCCAAAGCTCCCAGAGATTCCCAGGTGCTCGGGCTGACTCCAGCTGCTGGTGCTTCTCATCATCCCCATGCCCCATCTTGCTCCCACTCCTCCTTCTCCTCCTTCTCCTCTTCCTCTAACTCCTCCTGCTCATCCTCCTGCTCCTAGTCCTCCTCCTCATCCTGGTCGTTGTCCTCCTCCTCCACCTCATCCCCCTCCTCCTCCTCCTCCTCCTCCCCCTCCTCCTCCTCCTGCTCCTCCTCCTCCTCCTCCTCGTCATCATCATCATCACCACCACCATCATCATTATCAGCAGCATCAGCATCAGCATCAGCATCAGCATCAGCATCAGCATCAGCATCCGCATCAGCATCAGCATCAGCATCATCATCATCATCAGCATCATCATCAGCATCATCATCAGCAGAATCAGCATCATCACCACCATCATCATCATCATCAGCATCAGCGTCAGCATCATCATCAACACCATCATCATAATCAGCATCACCATCAGTGTGAGCATCATCATCTTCACCATCTTCATCATCATCAGCATCATCATCATCAACATCAGCATCACCACTACCACCAACAACACACACACATCGTCATCGTCATCATCGTCATCATCAGCAGCATCATCAGCACCATCATCATCATCATCATCAACACCATCACCATCACCAAATGACAAACAACCTCATACTCTTCCTCATCCTCATCCACATCTGTTCATCAGCATCGGCATCAGCATCACCACCACCACCATCCTAATCGTCATCATCATCATCAACATACTCGTCATCATCATCATCATCAGCAGCAGCAGCATCATCATCATCCTGATCGTCGTCGTCGTCGCCATCGTCATCGTCGTCTTCGTCACCATCATCATTATCAACATGATGATGATCATCATCATCACCACAACCACATCGTCCCTTTCCTCCTCTGCCCTCTCCTACCCCCCTCCTCCTCCCTTCTCCTCGAGGTTGTCTTACGGGTGGTGCCGAAAGCTGCGCCGTGCGTCCAGCAGGTCAATCAGGTTCCATTGGAGACAGATCGGAGTGCTGCTCGAAATCCACTGCGGCCCGATCGCATGTCAAAATCACATCTCACGTCAAATCGTAAGACGTTGAACGAATATGATTTCCAGACGCGCAGCAGCACATATACTAGTACTAGGAAGCAGCCGCTGCGACTTCGTTGTTATCATATGCATACCGGCTGTGAGCAGGACACTGGACGGACAGCGAAGCTGGTGAGAAGTCGACCGATGAAGGAGGCGAGCGCTCTGCAGGAATTGCGCTGGTCGAGAAATCAGCTCGAAAACCTTCGTGCTGCTCCTGTCGTTCGGGTCGGCGCTACAGCGCACGTGCGCATCTCAGCGTGCACCGAATACTGGTCTATTGAATGAATTCACTTGGTTCTCGGACGGCAAATTATGCTGGAGCCTCCTGGACGCACATGGGTGGAGTTAGGATGATGCGGTAAGACTCGGGAGGACTCGTAAATCCCAGCGGCGTTCCTTTTTCCATGAGGATTTCTTTCCAAATCCTAAATAAAACAATTTTCCAGTGCAACCCACAAGCGCTCCATTTTGTCATCAAGATTCACTCTTAAAATGCCATATGCAGCAGTGGTGCTCTCGGTTGTTGTAGTGCACACAGGCGCTGTGGTGTACACAGGCGCTGCAATTGTGGTGTACACTGGTGCTGTGTTGCGCACGGCTGATGTAGTGTACGCAAACGCTGTGGTGTACACGAACGAGCGCTGTGGTGCCCGCCGGCACTATGGCACACACTGGCGCTGTGTTGCACGCGGCTGCTGTGGTGTACATGGGAGGCGTGGTGTTCACAGGCGCTGTGGTGCACGCAGGCACTGTGATGTACACAGGCACTGTGGTGCACATCGCCACCTACATGCTGCTGCTACCCGTCCCTGGTCATTCTTAGGCATTCCCAGACGCTGCCTGCGCGAAACGTGACGTCATCGGCCCCTTCCCCCCTCCAGATGACGGCCGCCATCGGCCCGGAATGAACAAGCAAGCTCCAGCCGCGTCCGCGCGCATGACGACGACGACGACGATGAGCGACGAGCGACGAGCGACGAGCGACAACGACGATGACGACGACGACCACGACGACGACGACGACCACGACGACGACGACGACAACGACGACGACGACGACGACGACGACGACGACGACGACGACGACGACGACTGCGGACCGGACCCTTAATTATGCGGATTCTTATGCGGACGCCTACGCGGATCCCGATGCGCACGGCGGCAAGTGTCCGGGGCGCACTGGGGGAGGGGGGCCGCCTTACATTATACGAGGGGTGGGGGGCCGGGGGCCGGGGGTCATAACGCCCGTTATGCCCCAAGAAATGAAGAAACGCGCTCTTCCTTCTTCCCCCTCCCTCTCCCTCGTGGTCTGGACCACGAGGGAGGGGGAGGGGGTCCAAGGCCGCGATCCCGTGGATCTGTTTTCGCTTTCTCTTCCGCGAATGCCCCGCGAGGAACGTTTCCTTGCGACCGCGTATCCACGTGATTGCACCACGGAATCCAGACCGCGCATGGATACGGATGCCTTCGCCGCTCGTGACTCCGCCTGTGTGGCGGAATCATCAGAGAACCAACCCTACCCGAGATCCGCAGGATGAAGTCTACAGAGGCTTTCTCCTATGGGGCGAAATGGATCTCAGTGTTAATATCCTGCGGTCGTCGAGAGTGGCGCGGCGTGGCGGCCTGATGGCGAGACGTTTACAATCTCATCTCAATGGCACGCACACGATATTACACGTGGACGATGGAATCGAGATCTTCAGTCTGGGTTACCCCAAAGGAACCACTGGTGGGGTCGAGAGCTCCAGTCATGGTTCCCCCTGCTCCAGGCGGAGTGACGAGAGTACCACGATATTTCGCTGGGGTCACAGGCGCACGGCTAGCCAGGGTCGCCCCTGGGCCCCCGGCGTGTTAGCAGGTGGTCATAAGCTAGGCGTAGCCGTCTGCGGCTGAAAGCCAAGACATCCAGGGGAAACCGGGCAGTCGCCAGCGTCGCCAGCGTCAAACATCGCCTCGAAGTGCTGCTCCAGGGGTGGTACCGTGGGAGAGGCAGGGCCATCAGGCATCTGGGTACCTGCCGAAGGCTGAGTCTCTGACATCTGGACAGAGTGGATCTCCCGCACGGTGGACAAGGGACGAAAGCGAGAGCGCAATATACAAAAGGCTGCTAACCTATGTGAGGGAGGGAAAGATCAGAACGCCAGCCCTAGCCATGATCCGTAGGATGAACACGATATAGGTGCTCTCATCTGAGGCGGAGAGAACCTCAGTGTCAACAGCTGAGCCTTTAGGGCAGCGGATGAGGAGAGGAAGGAGGTGAGTGTGGGTACACAGACACATACATAACCCTTTCCCATGCCCTCCCAGAGCTTCGCAGTCTTGTCGAAGCTGCCGGTGACGATCTTGTCGCCGAAGGGGTTGTTGAACGCGATGGCGTACACCACGTTCTTGTGCCCGTCGAGCGTCAGCAGTTCTTCACCTGGTGTCTCTGGAGGAAAAAAGAGGAGCGGCAGGAGGAGAAGGATAAGAACAACAAGAACGAATGCACCCAAACCAGAGGAGAAGGAGGATGGGGAGGAGAAGGAGGAGGGTGAGGAGCAGGAGTTCTTGGAGGTTTTACAAGGTTCTAAACGTTCCTCTGGGTTTCTGGAGGGGTTCTTAAGGGACTGTAGGGGTTATTTGAGAAGTCAAGTCAGAGGGCCTTTGGACAGATTCGATCACCTAGCGCGACAGGCCATCTGATTCAGGTAATCAGGGCGTTCAGATGTTCTGGCTCCCTGAGCTGGCTCATGCTTGCGACGAGACCTCATTATCCTCCTCACCTCCACCGCTCTTCACCTCCTCCTCCTCCTCCTCCTCCTCCTCCTCCTCCCCCTCCTCCTCCTCCTGCTCGTCCTCCTCCTCCTCCTCTTCCTCCTCCTCCTCCTCCTCCTCCTCCTCCTCCTCCCCCACGTCATCATCAGCATCAGGATCATCACCACCACCACCACCATCATTATCATCAGCATCATCAGCATCATTATCATACTACACATCATCATCATCATCATCAGCATCGTCATCATCATGATCAGCATCATCATGATCATCATCATCATCCGCATGATCATCATTACCAGCAACATCAACATCAGCAGCAACATCATCATCGTCAACAGCACCAGCACCAACACCATCACCATCACCATCACCATCACCGTCACCATCACCATCACCATCACCATCACCTCATCATCATCATCATCATCATAATCAGCATCATCATTATTATTATTATCAACATCATCATCCTCCTCCTCCACATCACCATCGTCAACATCATTATCAGCATCATCAGCATCAGCATGTTAACCATCATCATTATGTTAATATTCCTCCACCTCCCCCTCCTCCTCCTCCCTTCCTCCTCCCCTCCTCCCCCTCCCCTCCTCCTCCTCCTCCTCCTCCTCCTCCTCCTCTCCTCCTCCTCCTCCTCCTCCTCCTCCTCCTCCTCCTCCTCCTCCTCCTCCTCCTCCTCCTCCTCCCTTTTCCTCCTCCTCCTCCTCCTCCTCCTCCTCCTCCTCCTCCTCCTCCTCCTCCTCCTCCTCCTTTGCATCGTCCTCATTACTCCTCACAATTCCCTCGCCGCTTCAGGTGAGGCGTTGGCCCACTTGGCTTGAAACCAGGCGGGCGGCAAGCGAGCTTCGGATGAGAGAGCACTGCGAACTCATCCCTCATCCGTCCCCCTCCATGGGAGTATGTGGGTCCCTACGTATCTCTTAATGTCTCCAGAGGACTCCCAGGGCCTACTCCCCTCCTCTTTTTTTGGCAGCAACGCCCATGCCTCCTGCAGTTACCGACGCACCTGTCCGAGGCTCAAACAGGCACCGAACAGCCAAGCTCCTAAAGCAACGCGACAAAATCATCAATGTCAACCGTCACCTGAGCCTTGTCCCCTTCTTGAGCTTGCGCAAGTTGCGCATTGACGTGACTGTGGGCTGGCCACACCCTTTGCCGAGCTCAAGAATTTGCGAGCCGCTACTGTAAAACTTGCACGACAAGCAAACAAACAAATTCGAACGATCTGAGCAGGGGAAGGCAACGACCTTATGCCCCAGCCTCAGCAGCACGCCTTGGTCCAACCTGGAGTGTCCTGGACAGTCCCCAGGAGGAGGGGCCCGCGCCCGAGAGCCCTTAAGGCAAACTCGGCACTGCCAGAAGGACCCAACCTGCGCCCACGAGTGCCCAACATCCAGAGAAGGGTGACGAGGAGCGGGAGGGGGCCTGGACCTGGCGGTGCTCCTCCCACTCCTCCTCCTCCTCCTCCTCCTCCTCCTCCTCCTCCTCCTCCTCCTCCTCCTCCTCCTCCTCCTCCTCCTCCTCCTCCTCCTCCTCCTCCTCCTCCTCCTCCTCCTCCTCCTCCTCCTCCTCTTTCTCTTCCTCTTTCTCCTCTTCCTCCTTTTCCTCCTCCTCCTCCTCCTCCTCCTGCTCCTCCTCCTCCTCCTCCACCACCTCCTCCCCCTCCCCCTCCTCCTCCTCCTCCTCCTCCTCCTCCTCCTCCTCCTCCTCCTCCTCCTCCTCCTCCTCCACCTCCTCATCCACCTCCTCCTACTCCTCCTCCTCATCATCATCGGCTCCCCCTTCCTCCTTCCCATCCTCCCTCTCCTCCTCTGAAAAAATGAAAGCAATTGGGTGTCATTGCACTTGCTGCTGGGCTTGGCGCACAGCGGTAGTGCAACCTTAGCTACGTTCCCGGATCAAGGGGGTCCGGGCGCGAAGCGGATGAATCAGCGAGTTCGTCTGCCAGCAACCGACACCGCAGCCACCACCACCACCAACACCACCGGGAGGGCAAAAGGGGGAGGTCCTCAGCGTTCGTCGTCCGCACCGCCGCCTACCGCACCGCCAACCGCCACAGGAGGCGGGGAGGGAAGGGGGGAGGGCACTGGGGAGATCCTGTTCCTTCTCCTGCTGTTTTTCCTCCTCCTCCTCCTCCTCCTCCTCCTCCTCCTCTTCCTCCTCCTCCTCCCCCTCCGTTTCCTTATCCCGCTCCTTTTCTTCCTCCTCGTCGTCCCCCTCTTCCATATCTTCTGAACCCCTATTCCTCGAGGCCAGGGGATTGTGGAGCCGCTGTGGGTCTTATATGAAAGCTTACGATATTTCACGTTGTTCCTCATCATTATGCTGATGTTTCCTTTCTCGTTTTCTCTCTCCCTCTCTCTCTCAATCTCTCCCACTCCCATTCCCATTCCATTTCCATTCCCAATACCATTACCATTACCATTACCATCCCCACTCCCATTCCCATTCCCATTCACATTACCGTTACCATCACCATTACCTCTATATTTACCTTTACCTTTACCATTACCATTACCATTGCCATTACAATTTCCACAGTGCCATTACCATTGCCATTACAATTTCCATTATCATTGCCATTGCCGCTGCCATTGCCATGGTATTGCCATTGCCAATCGCCACCCCGTTACCATTACCGTTACCATTACCATTACCATTCCCATTACCATTCGACACTACGATTACCATTGCCATGATCATTCGCATTACCAACACAACCGCCATTACCATTACCATTACCGCTGCCATCACCATTACAATTCCCATTCCCATCACCATTGCCATTCGGATTAACGTTACCAGTACCATTTCCATTACCATTGCCATTAGCATTACCACTACCACTACCATTTCCATTCCCGTTCCCGTTCCAAGTACCACTACGAGTCCCATCCCCGTTCCCATTCCCATTCCCATGACCATGACCATTACCATGGCCATGGCCATTGCTATTGCAATTGCCATTGCCGTTGCCATTCCCATTGCCATTGCCATTGCCAGTCCCATTACCATTACCATTGCCATCGCCGTTGCCATTGCCAGTCGCCACCCCGTTACCATTGCCATAACCATTACCATTACCGTGATCGTCACCATTACCATTCCCAATACCATTATCATTACCACTGTCATTGCCATTACCATTACCATCGCCAATGCCATTGCCATTCGCCACTACCATTACCATTGCCATTCGCCACTACCATTACCATTACCATTGCCATTGCCATTGCCCTTCGCCACTACCATTACCATTGCCAGTACCATTACCATTCCGATGTACACTCCCATTCCCAATACCATTACCATTACCATTAGAACTGCCATTGCCATTACCATTACCTTTACCTCTACCTTTACATTTACCCTTGCCCTTACCATGTCCGTTACCACTACCACTCCCATTTCCATGCCCGTTCCCATTCCCATTCCCATTCACATTCCCATCCCCGTTCCCATTCCCATTCACATTACCATTGCCATTACCATTGCCGTTGTCATGGCCATTACCATTGCCATTGCCATTACCATTACCGTTGGCATTGTCATTGTCATTGTCATTGTCATTGCCAGTCGCCACCTCGTTACCACTATCATTACCGTTACCATTACCAGTACAATTACCATTACCTCTGTCATTACCATTACCATTCGTATTGCCATTGCCATTGCCACTAGCCACTACCATTACCATTACCAGTACAATTTCCATTGCCATTCCTATTCTCATGACCATTACCTTTACCATTACCATTACCATTATCATTATCCTTTCCATTGCCATTACCATTACCTTTACCTCTACCTTTACCTTTACCCTTACCCTTATCATTCCCATGTCCGTTACCACTACCACTACCATTTCCATTCCCGTTCCCGTTCATTCTCCCATTCACATTCCCATTTCCGTTCCCATTCCCATTCCCATTACCATTGCACTTACCATTGCCGTTGCCATTGCCATGGCCATTATCATTGTCATTGCCATTGCCAATCCCATTGCCATTGTCATTACAATTACCGTTGCCATTGCCATTGCCATTGCCAATCGCTACCCCCTTACCACTACCGTTACCATTACCATTGCCAGTACCATTACCTCTGTCATTACCATTACCATTCGTCACTACCATTACCACTGCCAGTACCATTTCCACTCCCATACCAATTACCATTAGCATTACCATTACCATGAGACTACCGCTGCCATTACCATTAGAATTACCATTCCCTTCCCAATACTATTACGATTTCCATTGCCATTACCATTACCATTACCATTTCCAGTGCCATTACCATTACCACTACCACTATCATTTCCATTCCCGTGCCCGTCCCCAGTCCCACTTCCATTCCCATTACCATTACCATTACCACTGCCACTGCCATTGCCATTACCATTACCATTACCATTATCATTCCCATTACCTTTAACTCTACCTTTACCTCTACCCTTACCATTACCATTACCATTGCCATGGTCATTACCATTGCCATTGCCATTGTCATTGCCATTCCCACTGCAATTGCCATTGCCATTACCATTGCCGTTGCCATTGCCATTGACATTGTCATTGCCTCGCTACTCCGTTACCACTATCATTACCGTAACCATTACCAGTACCATTACCATTGCCA